ATTTCTGGTCGGCGAAGCCCGTAGCAGGCGGTCGAGCCATAGGGCACAACAGGATAGTATTGATTACTGTCCAAATCATTTCGAAATGCCCCATAGTTCACACAATGGGTTTCTGTAAAACGGCCAGGTTTCTTCAATGTAACGGCTCCCATAGACCTGCGTGAAACGTTTCCTGCCGCGACGAAATTCGCGCGTCCGTTCACACCGCAGCGTCAGTAATAAATCAGCGATTCGGGACATTGTTTTCAATTGATGAAGATGCGCTTTCTTTACTGTTCATACAGGAGAAAGAAAATACCAATGTGCATTTTCAGAGCAGATACGGTAATTCTAGCTGTTCACCTAGGCCAGCAAACAATATTTTCCATCAAACTGTTCATAATATTTTTAGGAAGCGGAGAAGGTGGCTGCATGATGTTTACCTAAAAAGAAAAGTGCCGTTAGTTTCGTAACCTGATGCAACAACTTTGTAGGAACAAGAAACGCTTTTCCCAGATCTTTCCTATATGACAAAGTATCAAGGAGCTTCAATCAATGTGTCAGGACCTAAAATTCGTTGTGATGAGAACGAACCTGTTTTTTTTAATTTGAGATGAATATTTGTATTAAATCATAGATAATGATACCGTTTTCAAATTGACAAACTGACAGCGATGTTGGTAAGGAAAATTACAAAACAAGGCTGCTGCAAGTACGGTACGGCTTCAGAAGGGTAATAATTACAGATTAAAATTTAAAAAACACACCATAATTGTTTTTGCTTTGACCACGCTATAGCAAACGAATTGCGGAAGCATTAGGGCAATCCGTAATATTTAACATCTCTGCACCATATTGCACGAATGATTGATCTACTTGTGAATATTGTGGAAATTGGAAAACGCATAGTAATGGAAGCTGTAATTACATAAACATAGGAGAAAAATGTTTGCAAAGACATCTTTAATAATATTCGCTACACGTATATACATGAGATTTTAAAAGGACAGTTACTGTTTCTCTACATTTTGCCGTCTCTCATCCATTTTATATCAACATCATTCGTGAGTCGAATGAATATGACAAACCGCACATGCCTCCGCAATGCAGACGCACCGCTAATGAAGGTGCAAAACAGCGCTACCTGGTATCTGCTGCCCACAACTCCGATGGACTTTCACATTATGCTGAGCGCGGAGGGGCAGAACGGTAGGGGTCGTGACAATGTAGCTCTTCCAGGAGAGGCCTGACATCTGAGCACACAGCTCTTTTTTTGATGAGAGGCGTCGAACAGTTCGGACGTGCGTAGAGATCTACATCAGTAAGGAGCGTGAGACGCCATTTCGTAGACGGTACGGTGCCAAGTAATTGTTCGTACGAAAGAATAGTAGGATAGCAGAAAATTCAGCTTTCTGAATTGTGATTAACCAGGCGAAGCATAATATTTCATAAAGGGTGTGGAAAGTAGTGGAGTAGCTAGTACGAGGCGAAATGGTGGCCGCGAAAACGTGAACTACGCTGTTGCGAAGCGTCAGTAGAACGGTGCAGTTAGCTACACGAGTAAGAAGTGTTGTAAAGTACGCCAGAAAACCGATACGCCGATAGCAAACATGCGTAAGGACTTCGAAAAACGCATCGTCGAGCCGCATTGAAAGAGCGAAGATTCTTGCGCATAGGCGAAGAACGAAGCGAGGATTCTGGTGCCGGGCGTGGCCAAGAAGATGAAAGAAAATTGGACGTGGATCTGGTAGCAGGAGAGAAAAGAAGGCGTTTCGAGCGACATCGCAGACGGCTGATCTGCGAGAGAGCGATGCAACGGTGCGGCTGGAATTGGACCAAGGTCGACATACCCAGCTGCAGCGCGAGCGCTGGACAAGGTCAAGAATATTTGTAATGGGAATTGAGGGCTGACGGCGCAGTGAACGCGCTAGTTCTGTGACTGAAAGGCATAACTCAAGGGAAATTTGAATAACAAATTACAATTTGTCACGATCAGTATTGCAGAGCAGAACGGCAAAAAAGCCTTGTAGTCCATGTGATATGTTTCATTCCTGTGTGAATTGCCGAGGACATTCACGGTAAATTTTTTGAGCACTGTAGTCAGTAATTATATTAAATTGTTGAGTGAAATTCATTGGAGATTGAGAAGTAACTCCCTTTGATTCATGTTTTCACCAAGTAAAGTTAATTATTAATTTGCAACCGTTTGTTGGCCAAGCATTGAATAATTGTACGAATTGCAGAGAAATTTGTAAATTTAGAAAACTTAGATTGTTTCACCATGCAACGTACCTTAAACGAATTGCAGAGAAATGTGTAAATATAGAAAACTTAGATTGTTTCAAAGTTATTCAGAGTAGTATTTTATTGATTTCAGAGTGTATTCTAGAAATAATTTCATTTTGATATGATTGAGTGTGTTATGTGATAATTTATTTGTGTTCTCTTCAATGCTTTGTAAAGTGATTTAATTGTTTAAGAATATACGCACTGATTTTCACCTATTTGTGTCTTGGGAAAACTTTATCACACCCGAGAGATCCTGCTCCCAGAGATCACAAAGCATTTTACTAGCACTCATTCTGTTCTCCCAGCTGTTATATCTGAATGGTTCTTAGGTAATGTGGGAGAGGTCAGAATATTTGTATGTATGTATGTATGTATGTATAGGTAAAACGGCGTATATTCTTTCCAAAATACTACCACAAATAACAAGCACTGAACAAATACAAAGAACGAATAGAAAATAACACATACAAATATAATACAGAATCAAATTCACGTTTTAACACTGAAAAATTTACATCACGTGTCAACTTAAAATTAAATATCTCCTCCTAATCAAATTCCCTTCACAAATACCCTTGCATGGTAACTACTGCTTGGCCAGCACCGTTTGAAAGCAACAAATGTTAAATCCCTTGATTTGATTAACACACTGTAAATTATTCATACTAAATAATCGCAACAAATTACCAAATAACTTATTTAACTAAACACTTATTTACAGTTAATTCTCTTGAAAAGATTACACATAGATGAAAAAAGTGTTTTACTCTGCTTTATATAATACTTTCCCCGTAAACATTAGACACAAATGAACTGTATTACTGGCTTACAAGGTCCCCTTTCCTGATATTTGTCGTGATCTAGTTCGTACTAAACTCTACGTGGTGCTGCAAATTTAGAAATGGTATTTCTGCTACTGCTCTAGCGCTCGTGGCTCTGCCTGCTCTCAACTCCCGTTACAAAATGTATTACCTCCGGTAGCACACGCAGTCGCGGTTTGCGAACCTTACGTCTCCGTCGCCGTGCCTGACCTTGTCCCAGATTCGGCCGCACCGTCATTCCACTTCCGTCCAGCTGTCCTCGATGTCGCACCAACCACCGTTGCCTGCGTCTTCCTTTCCTCGGAATCGGTGCCTACATTTTTGCTTGGCTCCGGCTCCTCAAGCCCTCGGCCTGCTCCACTCGCCTGCTCAGTCTTCACTACACTTGCCCATAGCACGCCAACGCGTGATATTCAGTCCTAATGCGTGTTACTGGTGGAGTATGTCTACCTTAGACATGTGTTGCTAAATTAAGTCTAATGACGCCTCGTGATAATTAAGCTCCCTTTTCTCTTGAGGACTACTATTTTCCGCCCTAAATGTCCTATAACTGCACCCAGTTGAATTAACTGCTGCACCCATATCGAATATTCCGAAACTTCCGAAATTTTCTCCAACTTCGCCCAGTTCAATTAAGTGTAGAACACATGTCGCATAATAAACAACTTCCTAAATCTGCTACCATTCACTTCTACTCGCTCCTGCGCCCTTACTCACTCCTCTCACGACGAGATGTCGTCTACGCCCTATCGGCCTCGCTCACCGCACTCGTCTCCTCACCTCGGCGTCTAGTACAGAAAAGGGGTGTGGAGCGGTCAGCTGCTCCGCTTTTTAAAGTGATGGCGTGACGTAACCCTTTCGCGTTCGCAATAAGCCGGAATTCCCCCATCGTCGTGGCGCGAGCCGCAGATAATTATTAGGTGCGCCTGTGTCACAGAAACCAGTCTTCGCTTCGCCGAAGCATTGTGGGTGTTGTGGGATTTCTGATCTTGTATCGAACTCTCACTATATATATATATATATATATATATATATATATATACACACACACATATACACACATATGCATACATACACGTACAGTAAAACCTCATTAGCACAAACTCGCTTAAAACGAACAAAATTTGGATCCCGCCAAAAAATGTAATAAGGTTATGAATAAATCTCGGAAAACACGAATTTTTATGAAACGAACTACGATTATTTCAGTCCCTTAGAATTCGTGTTAATGACGGTTTAATACAGTTTTATTGACCACCAAACATACATTATAAAACACGTTAAATAATAACGTGCGTTGGGCGTTGACTTTTTTCGTTGTATTTAACGAAAACATCTGGTTAATGGGTAGTAGTAAAAAAGGAACATATTGTTGACGAAGTATGTGATAAGCTTCATCAGAAATCACTATGTCCCAAGATCCTGTATTGATCAATGCAATCATGGTAACATTTTTACATTTCACGTAGATCAATAGTCATATGTGTGGCCACATAAACAATTTCATTTATTCCACGATAATCACATCTTCGCGTCAGCATTTTTATTATAGAAACCTGTATTAACTGTGGGTGGTCGATGTTCTATGTGCGATTCCCATTCACATCGAACCACTTTCGTTTCCCAGGATTATGGATTGATTGTCATTTTCTTTCAGAATATGTTCCGGAGGTGCCAAGAATGCATGCAAGTCTAAGAACACCACTTTCAGCATCGTCTTTAAGGTAAGCTAAGAGCTGCTATTGTTCTCGTATGTCAGTTCGGAAGTTGAATCAGTGCTTCGCTAGGCGAGTGAGCTTTCGACTCCCTGGACGACGCGGCTCGAATCTTCGGCGAACGATAAAATGTGCACTGGTTATATCTGTTATTTCTCATGACTAAATGTTATAAGAAACTGTAATTAAATCTTACCGCTTCTACCACTTGAGGCTTCACAAGTGGAATTGAGAACTCAAGATCACTAGGCCACCATGCAGGAGTTGTCAATTCTTGAGAAATATCACTGCCAGAAGAACAACGAATCATAAATGGCACAAATTTTTCCAGTTGATCCTGAAACATTCACAGAGATGAACATTTAATAATAATCATAATAATAATAATAATAATAATAATAATAATAATAAGAAGAAGAAGAAGAAGAAGAAGAAGAAGAAGAAAAAGAAGATCACACACAAAAATGTTTCAAACCAAGAATTAACTGCCCTAATGCCAATACAGTAACCAACTAAAAATGGATTATTAGAGAAAAATGCATTCGAAGATCTTTACAGTCATATAACTGCAAAGTCTAGGTAACTTTCTCTCAGATTTCTTTAAAAAGATCTTCATTAAGAAGGAAATAAAAAATTGACATAATATAAAACGAAATTTATAAGCATTCTTATTTCAAAATTATTATTGTATTGTATGTAAAGGCTTCATCCTATCATTTTCCAGTTGTTTCTATGACGATATCACAATGCGGCGAAAACCCGAGCATTTGAACTTAATTTGAAACCTGTAAATATCAGAACGATAAATATTTTAAATTTGATTTTGCTATCTCATCTGTGGGAGAACAATATGACCACCTTTCATGTAATTATATCTGGAATTCTGCTGTTAGTTTGAGTATATATGAGATAAGAAAGTATATAAAATGGCATGTCCTGGTTTAACCCAGACTCGTACTTACGAAAAATAGAAATGAATAAAGCTTTCAAACAACAGCAAGAGAGTGAATTTACAACTCCAGAAACTATCATTTTTAAGAAGTGAAGCAATACACCTCAACATAATAAAAAGAAGTCAAACGAATTTCAGAAAAAGATCGCACTACGCACTGTAGAAAGCAATACGCACTGTAGCAGTGCCACACTAAAACATTTTAATGCAAAGTAAAACGTGAGTAAAACTGAAAAAAAGTGTCCTCTTATTTTAAAAAAGGGATTGGCAGAAAAGAACTAAACACTAAAATACCCAATAAAAGCCAAATAATTGATATAATCTTCTTCTCTCACATGTTGCAAATGTCGGCGTCTCTTCACAAGCGAGAAGATTAGTCATTTCCAAGTACATGTACTAGAGAGCTAGCAAGGTGAAGCCTTCAGCGGTTATCTCTTACTTTAAAACAGTGCAGGAAAACATGCTCCACGGTAAGATCCGTCTCGCAACTACCCCAAGTACGGGGGTGGGTCACCGCGGAGATGATGTCCGTGGGAGTAATGGCAGTGACCGATCTGAAGGCGTGTGAGAAATACCTCCTGTCTAGACCCACGAGATGAGGAAGACCAAGGCTTAATGGATTCCTTAATTCTTGTGAGTTTAAAAGCTGAATTCTGCCACTCTGTTTGCTGAGTATACAGCGTTTGACAAACACATTGCTATCATTTGTTGGGACTGTGAGGATGTCTATCACAGTTTTATTTATGGTAAGCTTTGGTACCTGGTCAGCAATGTCGTTCTCTGATATCCCAACGTGACCACGGATACAACAAAAAACCGAATTATAACGAAGCACCAAAAAATTATGGATTTGGTGTTGGATGATAATTGTCACAGGGTCACCACAAGCAGGAGAGAGATTTGAGTGAGCTTTTTAAGTAACTGCAGATCACTGCTTACTTTAATGTCATTGATTCAGAAAACGTAAGTGCCTCCAATAGCGCGTATTTTTCTGCAGTATAAACACTGCACGAAGAATCTATTTGAAGTCTCCGCGTGGTAATGTGGCAGTAGAAGGCATATCCTATATTACCATTTTGGGAGGAACCGTCAGTGTATATGAAGTTATAGCCGGAATACCTGGATTTCGTTTCCTGCAATTCCGCCAGAATTATACCGGGGGAGGTGAGGATTTGTGGAAGTGTTAATAATCTGGTGTCTATTTTAGGGAGCAGAAGTTTCCGAGGGGAAATAAGACTTCGGGGGAGGGGGCTTAAGGGATGGGGAATTTTATATTGAGTTTCTGCGAAAGCGTTTAGAGACGGATACCCGGAGGATGGGGTAACGATGGTCTGAGTGCGTACGACGTCGTGTGACGGATGAAGAACTGCTTGGCGCGAAGTAGTATATAAAACTGATACTTTCGCACCATATGATTCGATTACAATATCTCGCCTTCGGCTCAGGGATAGTTCACCAGCTTCAGCCAAGAGGCATTCAATGCGACTCGTGCGGTAGGCACTTATGCTGAACCGTACATCGGCATTGTATATGGTATACAATGACCAGAGTGACAATGGAGACGTTGACCCATACACAATACACCCATAATCTAAAATAGGACGAATGATGGTCCTATATAAAATACGTACTATAAAACGTATAAAAACATACTATAACTAAACATCTACCTGTAAGGGTGCGAAGGAGATTCACTGGTGATACACAACGTCTCTTTCATCGGCAAGTTTGGAATATGCTTTCACCATGTTAAACTCTTGTCGCATGTCAGGCCCAGGAAAGTGGAGGATTCGGCGAAGGGAAGTTGATTACTCCCCCAAAAAGATCAGGATGATTATGGAGGTGATGAATTCTACAGAAGTGCATGCAACAGGATTTTGAGGCGGAGAAATTGAATCCGGTGTTATCGCTCCATTCTTGCAGTTTGCTGAGAAGCTGTAACTACCGCTCAATAATTTAAGGGCTCTTCGAGGAGCAGAATGTGGCAAAGTCCTCAACGAAGAGCGATGTTTTCACAGGCTCTCAAATTACTTATGCGATACCACTGATAGCTATGGCAAACAGTGACACTCAGAATTGATCCCTGGGGAACACCGTTTCCTAACTGGTGAATTGAGGAGAGCGTGTCACCAAGGCGGACACGGAAAGATCTTGACGAAAGAAAATTTACTAGAAACGAAAGGAGCCGGAAAGAACGTGGAGGGCCTAAGGCCCCAAGAATGCAAGGTGCGAAAAATGCCGTACTCTCAGGTGGTGTCATACGCTTTCTCCATGTATAAAAAAATTGCTAACAGGTGCTGTCGTAAAACGAAAGAAGTGGAGATATGTGTGGCAAGGGAACTAAGTGGTTTATGGTTGACCAGTGCTTCCTGAAACCACACTGAAAAGGTATAAATATATTCCTTTGTTCCAGGAGCCAGACCAAATGTTTGTTTAGCATTCGCTCTAAAAGCTTGCACACACAACTTGTGAGCGAGATTTGGCGGTAACTTTAAGGGATTGTTCTGTCCTTTCCTTCTTTAGAGATTGGAATAACAATGGCTTGATGCCAAATCCTTGTTAAGGAATGTTCCTCCCAATGCAGGTTAAAAATGCGGAGGAGAAAAGAACTAGCATTTTCCGGTAGGTGTTTAAGCATTTGATTATGTATCTGGTCTGGCCATGGAGCAGAATCTTTTGTACAAGCGAGGGCACAGGAAAATCCATCCATGAAGAAAGGAGTATTCTAATCTTCCTTCACGCTACTCGACAAAGCTTGTCTGCAAATCTCCATTCTTATCGTCTTGAAAATGCTAGGAGAGTAGTGTACAAAGCTGAAGATATGCTCGTAGTGAGAGGCCTATTTTTCAACTATATCTTCTGGCGAGGTGAGAAGATTTCCAGATGCCCTGAGACAGCGAAAGAAGTCTTCCACCGACATTTCGCCCCATTTCTTAGGCAAGAGTGATGAACTATAAGCTCTCCAGGACGCAGTTTTACTTTCTCGTATGGTCAATCTAGCTCTGGCCCATGATCTTTTATAATTGATCAATTATCCATGATTGGGAATCTATTAAGCTTTGTAAATACCCGTTTTCGACCATGCACTGCGGTGGCACAGTCGGCATTCCACCATGGCATGGGAGGATGTCGTGGGTGATCCGATGACTTCAGGATGACAATTGAGGCCATATTCAGAACGGCATCAGTAAGATGGGCAACCATAGCATCGGTATCGTTTGGGCAGATTTCCGATATCCGTAATTCTGTCTCGAATGTTTCCCACTGAGCATGGTGAATTAGCCAGCGAGGAGGAAAAGCAACGTTTAGATCGGGAATATTGAAATTGACCAGAATGGGGAAGTGGTCACTGCCATGCAGGTCGTCAAGAACAGTCCGCTCAAAGATGGTAGACAGACATGGACTGCAGAGAACCAGATCGACGGGCGAGAAAGTGTTTGAAGCCAGTATGTGTGCTTCCGTCAGCATTCAAAAGAATTATGTTCTGGTTGTCATTAATATTATCAAGTATACTGTCTCTCAAACAGGTTTTTGAGCCACCCCAAGCGGGATCGTAGGCATTAAAGTTCCCCACAATAAGAAAAGGGGCGGGCAACTGAGAAAACAAATCTTCATGTTGTTGTGAAACGACGTGACCAGAAGGAATGCATATATTTCCACTGTTAGAGAAAAAAACGGTAGGTGTAACCGTTTTGTTCCTCAGAAAACAGGGAGCCACGAATAAGTACCGCGACACCACCGTGAGCACCGAGTCATCCTGTCATCTTGATCAAACCGATAGGTGTTAAACCTGCGAAGGCAGAGGGGATGATGGGGAAGAAGATGAGTTTCCTGAAGGCAGACTATAGATCTATGGCAAAAAATTATCAATCTTAATTCTTCAGAATGGGCCGCTTAGATACCAGGCTAGAGTCATTGTCGGGAATTACTTCTTAGGCTTTTTCCTTTCTCACCTTCTGAAAAATTGTAGAGGAACTCTCGTGGTGCTCCTCGTCAACAGAATCATGCTGATGCTGGAGATGGTCGCCTGTGTTGGGGGATTTCCCGATTTTTTACCACAGGCGACCGAAATCTACATCGGCTGGAGGATCGCTCAATGCGAGTCTCGGAAGTAGGAGGAGAACGGGATTTCTGTAAAGAAGTTTTGTTTAAGAGCGTTATCTGACTTCTATCTATTTCCTTAACGGGCTCAGTGGAAGTCATCTGCGTCTGGTGGAGATTTGTTTTGATGTTTTAAACTTTATTGGTATTATTACCTTCCCAGGTCGGATGCAAGCCGTATCATCAGGAAAGTCCATAGGCGAGGCCTGACAACTTAAGTGCGCTACGAGAGTAAGAGCAAGTTTTGTTTGACAACTTGCTGTTACCCTGAGGACTTGATCTTTAAAGTACTAGAGGAGGATCGTGACAAGTTTACTGGATTTCTAGCCTGGTGCCGACGTTTGGCCTCAAAGAAGGAAACCTTTTCAGTGACTCTCTTTCCCGGAGAAAGGTAGAGCACTGGTTGTAGTTTGCTGGGTGGTCAACTTGACAATTGACACAGTGCTGTGGTGACGCGCAAGGATGTGGATTGCGCACTGATGCACTGCAATTCCCGCACACTGGGATTACCGACATAAATCGTTGCTGGGTATGCCCAAACTTTTGACACTTGAAACAGCGTAAAGGATTTGGTACAAACTGTCGCACATGGAGATTGTAGAAATCACAACTCATCCTTTCCGGAAGGGACGGACGATCAAATGTAAGGATCAGGGTTGAAGTAGGGATCTCCTTCCCCTGCTCTTCCCTTTGAAGATAAAGATATAAATAAATGTTGACAGTAAGAATATCAGAAAGTGAAATATTTTTTACTTACTGTAGTAATTTTTTCTAGACATGTGGGATATCCATCAGCAAACAGTAATGGAAGGTTACAAATCATAGTTCCTGCCTCTGTCACCCCTCCCAAGCACAGTCCCACAGACATCCTTCTCATAGGGGAAAAATTCGATCCATTGCCTTAGAATTCCCACTGAACAGGCAGCCTCTCTCAGATACCTGAAAAAATAAAACATTTGATTAATATGTTTTATTAATACTATATGTTTATTTAATACTTCTAATATGTTTTGGATGAAAATAAATCAAGATTATAGTAAATTTCGCATATATTCACACGTAAATTGATCGCTTTACCATTCCACACACATATAAAAAGAAAGATTTCAACAGCTTCGCAAAATAAATGTGTTTCCAAGATAAGAACATCTGCACCAAAAAATATTTAAAATGACTTCAGGAGCGCCATAAATCCCAAAAATAGTCCGTTTTTCGCCTTCATCCATACTTTCTTTCAAACTAAAGAGTAAATATTATGTATTGGTATTTTTCAACGTATTTTTGGCTGAGGTAAAGCCCACCACATTCCACACCAATGTCCTGCTCATAAATCATTACTTCTCTTAAACAGCGTGCCACATTAGCCGGAATATAGTTCATTTTGACTACACACCGTGTAACAGAAAGTAGTTTACTATATATAGGACTAAGATGTATCCACATTTTCGTTACCAGAGCCCGGTACTTATTTGTTTTTCTGTCGAAAAATCGCTGTTTTCCAACGCACGATTACAATACTTTCTCTTCTTAGAAAGGCCGGAAAGTAAAAATTCGAAAAAAATCGAAGCCCTAACTTTTTAAAACTTTTTAAGAAACACTTTTCGTTCATAACTATGGAAAAGCAATTACTAATTATTTTTCTAGTTAAACAGACTTATTCAAATATATATTTGAATTCAATTGTAAAGTATTTGAATTACAGGAATCGAAGAGGAAATTAGAACACAATTAACAAATAACTATTGTTGCATAAACGACACGTACTTTCTCGCCCAATTTTTACCCAAACTTACGCGAAAAGTATTCATATTTTACAAAAATGGAATATTACCTTATTTCAAAATCTATCTTCAGGGAGAAAATATCTTTAATATTGTAGTAGTAGGAAGTCTCCGAAAACTTTGGAACTTTTACAATTTTCGAAAAATCAGGGTTTTCAACGAAATGAGATTATTTACTAAAAGTTCAAAAAATCATCAATTACTTGCTGCAAGAGTCATGGGACACGGTTTACAATTCTGTTGATACAAACGATAAATACAATATTTTTTCAACTCTTTTATTTCATTTTAACATTTGTTTCCTCTTTGAAAGAGAAAATTAAATATTTCACGTAAAAGCAATTCTTGGATAACACAGGGCATTAGGGCATCATGTAAAACAAACGAATTCTTTCTTTCATTTCTAAGCATCATAACGTATCCCAACGTTTCCTCCTCTACTTTGAAAAATATAAATCATTGTTAAGAAAAGTCATACAGCAGGGTAAAAACATGAAACATGACCAGGATATCTTTAACTCAAATAATAAAACAAAAGCAATGTGGAATATAGTAAAAAATTCGACCATATCAACTAGAAACCTTGCAGAGAATGTTTTAAAAGATAACGATAGATATTGAATGATCCGGCAACAGTGGCTAATTTCTTTAACCAATACTTTTTAGAATTGCTGCTGATCTCACTAAGGGTCCACAAAATCAGCATCAGCATCACGTTTCCCAAAAAATTTCAGGCACGATACTCGTTTCCGAAATATCTTCATATGAAATTCTCAAAATAATCGGTACTTTAAAAAATTAATATTCGGCCGGTTTAGATGAATTTCCGGATTGTATGATAAGGATTTGCGCGCCGGCCATTATACATCCGTTAACTCACATACTTAATGTATCCTTATGCACAGGGATATTTTCCACATATTTTTAAAACAGCTAAGATTAAGACGCTTTTCAAAAACAGCAACAAAAATGAAATTCAAAATTATCAGCCAATTTTTCTTTGGTCGGTTTTTTCATCAATATTAGAGACACTTTTTTACGTACGAATAGAAATATTTCTTAATAAACATGACGCGTTTTCAGATTGCCAACATGGGTTTCGAAATTCAAAATCTACGGAAACAGCCATATTTTCTTTTCTCGAAGTTGTCGCCTCATCCATGGGTATAAACAAATCCCCTATTGGTATATTTTTAGATCTTTCAAAAGCTTTTGACGTCATTGATAATAACATTTTACTTTCAAAATTACCTTCGTATGGTATTCGTGGTGTTGCTCTAGATTGGTTATGTTCGTACCTTAAACGATCTCAGAGAGTAGAAATACCTTACTAGAATAATGGAACACTATGTACACACCTTCCTGATTCCTTGCCAATGGCATGTGGAGTTCCGTAGAGATCTATTTCAGTCCCTACTATACGTAAACCATTTGCCTTCGACGATTAGAAACGGAAGAACAGTTTTCTTTGCGGACGATACGAATATTCTTTGCAATAAAGAAACAGTAAATAGTACAGTATCAGATATTTCAAATTGGTTCCGTATTAACAAATT